TCGTTCGCACTGTTTGCCAGAATGGCCAGTTAGGTGTGGGACTCCCTCATCCATTCCACTGCCAGTTTTCTCATTTCTTTCTTTTCTTCTTTTTAATCTCCATCACACTGACTTTTGGAGAAACCTCAACACCACCACCCAGCCCTGGTGCAGCCTCTTCCATCCCTAGATCACTGTCCAAGCTCCCCCTTCCCCCCAGCCATTAACTTGGCAGCCTCCCCACTCCAGGGCTGGTGGCAGCTCTCTGTGTATCGAGGTGTGAGTTGGCCCCAGTGGTGTGTGGTGGCCGCAGGGAAACACAGCTGGCCTAGAGCTCCTCACAGTAAATAAGTTAATGTATGATCAAGGGTGAAGAGCTTGGCCTTCTTCACTGTCTGCGCACTGTGCAGCTGTGTGTCTCCTTGTGTGCCGGTTGTGTCTGTGTGGTGGAAATAGACAGTGGTCCTCGTGACATCACATGGAGAGTGGTGGCAGTGTGACCCCAAAGCACAGCTGCAGCCAGAGAGCCACCTGCCCACCTACTGGGCACTGAGCCCCCATTTTCTCTCCAGCTTCCAAAGTTTGTCCAGGTCCCCTGAGCTGTCACCTTCTCTTCCTATTTCCGTCCCTGCATGTGTGTCACCTAGGTGTCATTTCACTGCACTTGAGGAAAGAACCAAGATCCTCTCCGTGTGCTGGCATCAGTGTCCCGAGAGGAGCCCCCATCTCCTACTCTGGCTTCTCAGTGCAGCATGCCTGGGCCTCCCAGTGGGGGCTGTCATGGGGGCACTGCAGGCATATGCCCCCTCTCCTCCTGCGGAAGGCCTGGGCTCTGTGCCATCTGCTGCAACGTGAACCCCACTCTCCTGGGGCTCACATCACTGCTCAGGGCAAGGGCCAGGCCCATAAGACTTGCAGGGCTGTTCCTGTTGCCTTCTCAGTGCCAGGGCCTGAACCCAGCTGTGCCTGTGCTGGGCAAGTGCTCTGCCCCTGAGCTGAGCCCCAGCCCTTTGTTGCTTATGCTTCAGCTTTTGGAACTGTTTGGAGAGAAAGGTACAGGGATCCCACAGCCGCCTTCATGCAGAGCCATCCAGTTGTCACAGGTGAGGGCCCCACTTTGACATCTCCTCAAGCCCAGAGTCCAGTGCGTATACAGCCTCACACTTGGTTTGAGCCAGTATCCAGTGACATGTGTCCACCACTTATTCCCTGGTGCCACCTGCAGAGGCTCAAGCTGTGTGTTCTGGCTGGAGGGACAGAAGGGTCAAGGAGGCAGCGGACCCCAGTCCTTGCTGGTGAGCATCTTCATCCTCCTCGGCATCATGGCTTTATTCTGGGCAATGCAAGGAATTGGTGGCGCTCACTAGGGGAAGCAGGTGCCACCAGCTTTCCAGAGAAAACCTGACTCTGGCTGCTTCTGCTGTGCGAATGGATCAAAGGGAGGCTGCATCGGTGTGAAAGTGAATCTGTTGGTAACAGAAATCTGAGAGCAGGTCGTTTAGAGATTAACCATTTATTAATAAGGGGGAAAGAAAAAGAAGAAAGTAGAAAGTAGATGTAGAGTTCCCACTGCGCGGTCAGCGGGCTTCCACTTGGCCTTTCATAGGATGACCCCTTCTTTGCACCTTTACAGATGGCTGCCATGGCTCCAGTCATCAACTTTCATAGAGAGCCCTTCCCGGTCCTTGTCGTGGCCCCAGAAGTTATATGTGTAATCCTATGGAAAAGTTAAGGGAATTCTAGCCAGTTAATTCCAATCTACCACTTCCAGCGAAACCCATAGTGAGAATAAAGGCATATCGTTCACAGGAGCCAAGAGGTCGTAAGTCCAGCTAAGATGACCGCTAACTAGAACAAAGGTCTTGACCCAAGGATGAACCTGGGTTTTACTAATTTGTGAAGAAAGGAGTGGCTTGAGGGTGAATGACTGTAAGAGTGGCGGGAAGTAGGTGAGTGCTATGAGCTGGGCTGGGGAGGAGGCCCGAAATCCCCACTGCAACGCACAGAGAGAAGGGTACACAGAAAGTATTCTGCATCACACAGCTGAAATAATATCCAAGATTTGGGGTCAGTGCTTCACCTCTGGTGTGTAATCTTTCAGTGGAGGGATAAGGAAAAGACCTAGCCAGCTCTGTACATACCAGTACATGGAAACAGGGCCAGGCTCAGCCTCAGTGGAGACAGCTGCTCCTCCTTCACTCCTTCTCTGGCCAAGTGGTCCTCCACAAACTTTAAGATCCCAGCAAGAGGGAGAGGAAAGACTGAAAGCAAAAATTCAGTTGCTAGGTGAATCAACCTCATTGAAAGAGCTTTTGTGGCATTCCTATTTAATAACTTCCCTTTGCAAATCTTTGGCCAGAGTCAAGGTTGCTTGGGAGTGTGATAAGCTGGGTGTGCCACCAACCCAGAGAAGCTGGAATTACTGAGGAGGGACAGGAAGCCCATGGTCTGCACCATAGCTTACCAGAGAGGAAGAGCAGAGGTTGCTCAGGAGGTAAGGGCCCTAGCAGGCCGGGTGGAGCAAGATGCTTATGATGGCAGTGTGAGGTGCACGGCACTGTGTTCCCCGCTCCATCATCGAGCAGTGGGGAGGTTCACTCAGCCTTCCTGAGAGCCCTCTCACCTTCTTTCCCCCTGCAAGCTGGGCAGGTCCTGAGCTTCCTAGCCAGGCCCTTTGTGCCCACATTGGGTTGTGCTGTGTGCTGAGTGCCATTGTGACTTGGGTCACGAGTGACACATTGCTGTCCTGGTTGAGGGTGCTATGGGAGCCCAGTCCAGGGCACAGAGCTTCCTGTAGGGCCTAGTGGTGGCACAGCGCCTTACCCCAGGTGGGTGTCACATAGTCCTGCGGTTTTCCAGCGAACATGGTATCTGCTGTCATCTTCCTTCCTGGCATTTCTTTTTCTTTTTTTTTTTTTTTTTAATTTATTTGTTTTTGTGGGGGGGGCAGCTCAGCCCACCAAGGGGGCAGGGCTGGCTGGCATGTGGTGCTGGGGATTGAACCGCGGTCCATGTGTTTTGCTAAACTTGTTCTAAGTAGGTGCTTTAGACCACTGAGCCATCTCACCAGCCCTTTTCTGGCATTTCTGAATGAATACTTGGTAGGATTTTATTATGGAGTTCTTCTAAACATGCAGCAGGGTTAGCAGCTGCAGAGTGAGTACCATGCCTGTCCTCTGCCTAGCTCAGCCATGGCTGCTGCCAGACAGAGTGCCCTGCATATGCCCACACAGTCTGTCCCTTCCCCAAGGCCAGGTTGGTTTATTTCCAGTTCTAGGGATTGAACCCAGGGCTTTTGCACTGAGCACACTGAACAACATCCTCAGCCTTTCATTACATTTTTTATTCTGAAACAGGATCTCACTAAGTCATGGGGGCTAGGCTTAAATTGATTATCCTCTTGCCTCAGCATCCCAGAGTGCTGGTGCCACAGGCATTGGACTTGGGACAAACAGGCATGGGGAGCTGACCTAGAAATGGCTACAGAGAGGACTGGGCTTCCTGTGCCTGCATCCTCAGGGCTGGCCCTAGGGCATGTTGTGCACTGTGGCCCTGTATGCTTTCCTGTGTCACCAGTGTGGTGGCTCCAGGTGGAAGCTCCCTAGTGTAAGAGCATCCCCATGGCTTGGACTCCTGGAGCACCTGCTACCCAACTTTGCAAGGTCCTGTGTGCAGGGCATGTTCATGAGCTTGTCTGGCTCAGTGTATGTGCCTGCATCTCCTCGAGGACAGTGCATCTGCTTCCTCTCCAGCCTTGTTTCAGAGCTTCCTGCAGCATCTGATGTCATTAAGAGTCGAAGTCACTCTGAGTGCAGGGCACATGGGTGCCTGTCTGTGGGGATCTGTGCAGCCAGGGCCTCATGCACCCTGTTCACCAGTGATGGGTTCTGTTGGACAGAGCCAAAAAGCTGGCAGTGATGGCCATCGAAGTCCACCAGTCTTGCGTAGGATACTCCAACCTGGAGGAAACAGGGATGGGGGTGTCCTGACTTGAGAGAGCTTGTGATCACCTGTGATGGAGCCAGGCAGCCTCTTGGGGCACTGGGAAAGGGTAGGGGAAGCACCAGGCTGGGGAGGCCCATTTCCAGTAGTCTGGTTGCTGCCACCATGACCTGTTGTCTCCTCACAGTGTCCTCCTCTGCAAGGTAGCCGGTGATAGGGCTAGGGCCGTGTGAGGAGCCAGCATCAGAGGGTGTTCAGGGGGTGATCCTGCCTCATGATGGCCTTGTGGTCCTGCTGGGGACATATAATGAGGAAGCTGCCCTGGGACACTCCAGTATACTGGGGATATGAGACTGAGTCCCTGCCCAGCTAGCCACTTTCACCAGCGGCTCTGCCCGTGCTCTCTACGAGGTGTTTCTTTCTGGACAAAGCCAAGTCCTTTACTGCTGTTCCCAAGGTGTGTGTGTGCCTTTCAGTGAGGCCAAAAGAGCGTGGATGGCATCAGGGGCTGCTGTTTTCCCTCAGTTCAGCTACTGTGGTATGGGAAGACATCGTGTGTGTGTGTTCCTGAGTGTGCATGTAAGCACATGTAGCGTGTGCCTGGATATCTGAGCATATTCATGTGCTTGCATATCTGAGCGTGTGCATTTCAGCTTTCTGCAACCCCTCATCTTCCTGGGCTGTTTTCCAGGGTGAGCATTACAGGATGTGGGCAGCCAGAGTCTCCAAGCAGCTTGAGACTCAGCTGCTGTCCGTTCGTCTCTAGCAGCCAGCTGCCTGCAGGATCTGTCCCATCACTGGTATCCCTTCCGCCCATTTCCCCCTCCACCTGTCTGCCCTCCTTTGTGGGACCGCTTGGTTGGGATGGAACCGTGGTTCCTGGTGATGCTGTGTTCCTCTGTGTATGTACAGGGGTGTGCTGCCACCCTACACACGACCTCCCAGCTCCTAGGACTGTGGGTGCTGCTCTCGCTGAACTCTTGACGGGATGGGACAGAAGCACAAGTGGGAGCCATTGAGCACGGGGCAGCAGGTTGCCCCACATCCTGTCCCATGACCCCTTCCTCTTCCCTCTCCAGGGCTCCTTCAGAGGCTGAGCAAAGCCACAGTGCTCGTGAACAAAGGTTGAGGGAGCAGCCCGCATCTCCTCTGGCAAGTGAGGCAATGTGGGTTTTCGGGGACCCAGCCACCCACCAGACCTACACTGTGCTGCTGCCGCTGGCCTGGAAACTCTGAGCGCTGTTCCTGTGACACCCGCCACAAACTCCTGCTGCCCATGAGTGTTTGCTGCTGGAGACCCTGCCAAGGCTCCCACCTGTGAGGATGTGCAGCACTGCTGCGGAGCTGCTCCCTGCCCTGGCACTGGTGTTTGGGGTAGCAGTGGCATTCGCACCCATTCCCCGGATCACCTGGGAACACCAAGGTGAGCTAGTGCCAATGTGGCACTCATGGGACCATAGTGACAGCTGCTCAGAATGCTGGGATGGGTAGTGGGCACACTGGGGCATGAGCTGGCAGCCCTGCACAGGGACCATTGGGTGGGTGCTCTGGGGTCAGAAGACCTGAGGGCTTGTCTAAGCATCTGACTCACTGTCCTGCCTCATCCTTGTTTGAGGCTGCGAAGCACAGGCTGAGCATCTGTGAGCTCAGGAGATGCCGAAGGAGAGCTGGAGGCAGGAGAGGGCGGGCCATGTGTCCAAGGCTGGGTCAGGTCAGCAAATCCCGTTCGCTGCCTGTTGATCCAGCTTAGCTCTTTCCTCTCCTAAGAGATGTGTGCCAGGACCCTGGTCTTTGGCTCAAAGGACAGAGAGCTGAGTGAGGCAGTGCTTAGCCAGGGTCCAGAGTGTCTGCAGACTCAGGAGCCCGGTCACACAGAGGCAGGACCTGCGGCATGCATGCAGCAGCCTTCCACAAGGCAGCACTAGAACAGGAAGCGTTAACACGGGCTCTCTGCCGTGCTTGTTAGCGATTCGTCAGCACCTACTGTCTGCTAGGCACTGCATTAGGTGTATCAAATGGGATTTGTATTTGTGAGGACTCAGTTTAATGTGCAGAAGAAATGAGGGAGCCCTGGTGAGATGTCAGCTCTGTTGAAATCGGTGCTAGGCAGCCTCAGAGGAGAAAGCTTAAGATCAGGCTCCCTGGATGGGAGTAGAGGATGTAGTGGGGCAGTGTCAGAGGCCCAGAAGTAGCAAGGAAAGTGCCACCAGGGCAGCTGCTGTCTGAAGAACCAGCTCCAGGAGACATGCAGACAAGGCCCAGGCTGGGCCTCTGGGGCCACTGACTGGGGGTTGGGCCTGGCAGATCCTGAGGGACAGAGGGAGTGGGGCCCAGCCTCTGGCTGTGCATGTGTGAGACCTGCTTGTCACCCAATGACGGCACCCTTGCCTTCTGCAGAGGTGGGGCTGGTGCGGTTTCATGAGCCTGGCATCTACAACTACTCAGCCCTGCTGATGAGCGAGGATGAAGGTACTCTGTATGTGGGCGCTCGGGAAGCGGTCTTTGCGGTGAGCGCGCTCAACATCTCCCGGAAGCTACACGAGGTATGTCCTGTGTCCCCCAGGTGTTGTAGAACTCAAGCCAGCCTCAGGACCTCCCCTCAGCACTTTTGTCTATCAGCCTGTCTCAGGGTGTCTATCAGCAGCTCACCCAAAGTCTTTTCCCTTCTCTTCTTTCTGAGCCTCGTTATGGTATCACTGGGGGTGGCATGCAGGGCCTCTCACAAGCTAAGAGTGGGGGAGAGCGCTGCACCAGAGCCACAGCCTCAGCCCCTGCCACTTGGAGCCCTGGCAGTGTAGCTGCTAGGTGGCCGTGGGGCCTGGAGGACGGCTGGCTTTCCTGCCCCCCCGCATTAGGTTATTTCAGGCTCGCCTTGGACATTTCCTGGGGCTCTGCTCTTGCTTTATCTTTAGTTCCAAGGCCTCTTGTATTTCAGAATCTTATGTGACACATAAATGAGCTTCTGCACCTGATCCTTTGGAAGGAAATGTTTATACTAGGGGTCACTCTAAGCAGGGACTGGTTTCCTGTCTCCTCCTGTCCAGTGCTCATCCTCCGAGCACCGACTCCATGTAGTTGCATGAGCAAGAGGTTCTCGGAATTGTGGGCACTGTGTGCCCAGCGTGAACATGCCTGTGAGAACTGGCACTGTGGTCCTCATTCTTGAAAGGAAGCCGGGCCCCAACCAGGCTCAGCAGTTTACCCTCCCTGTTGGGCAGCTGGTCACTAGCTCAGTGCCTTGTTCTCTTGTCTGTGTCCTCCTGGGACTTCACCTCCATGCGCACACTGTACGGGGTGTCTGTGCTCAGCATGGTATAGACCCCTCTCCTGGGATCCCCGCTCCCCACAGGTCTCTGTGCTTCCTAGCCCCTAGCCCTAATTCTTCAGTGGGTCACTGACCAGTGAAAAATATCCCATTATTGTCCTTTTAGCATCAGTTTCAGGACCTCACACAGGGAATGGTAGGGCCTTTGGGGGAAGGTTAGGCAGGAACTAGGGCACCCCATCCCCGCCCCCTCAGCCTGCAGACCTTTCAAGGTGCCTCCTGACAGCTCCAGACCCGTGGCCATCCTAGCTTAATGGAGAGGCAGCAGCATCACCTTCACTAAGAAGGGCACAATGCTGCTGTGTCGTTATCAGCCACCAAACCTCAGGTCTCTGGCACAGTGTGCACCATTCACTGGTGTTCAGTATCAAGACACTCTTTTTTTTATTTTTTAAATTTATTTATTTATTTATCTGTGTGTGTGTGTGTGTGTGTGTGTGTGTGTGTGTGTGTGTCCAGCTCAGCCCACCAGGGGGCGGGGCTGGCTGGCATGTGGTGCTGGGGGATTGAACCGCGGTCCCTGTGCTTTGCTAAGCTTGTTCTAAGTAGGTGCTTTAGACCACTGAGCCATCTCACCAGCCCAAGACACTCTTTTAAAGTCACTTTTTAACACAAATTAATTGCACGTATCAGTGGGGTTCAGTAGGGTATTTCTGTCCCTCCCTGAAGCACACACCGTTCACAGCTTCTGGTGATCACTGTTGCTGTTCCAGGTCAGCCTCAGGTAGCTTCTTCCACCTAGGAGACAGCAAGCAGCACCTGTCTTTCTGAGTCTGGCTTGTTTTACTGAACAGGATGCCTGCAAATTCCATCCATGTAGCTGCAAATGACACGATCCCCTTCTGGGGCCAACAACACTCTTATATATATACGCGCTTTGTCTTCAACCACCCACGGACAGGGCATCTCGGCTGGTTCCCTACCCTTAGCTGTTGTGGGTAATATTTATGAGGCTGGCTTTCAGTGCATTAGGAAAAGGCTTCAGAGTTTAGCTTTTGCCACAGGTGGAAATTCTCCCACCTGCAGTAGTTTCACTTTTGCTGCTCTTGTGGGGGTGAAGGAGCTGTGGGAAAGGCTTTCCAGGCCCTGCATGTTGCTGGTGAGGATCGCAGAACATTCTCAAAGAGTCAGGCCGGTCCCAGCACCAGCATTGTCCCGCTTTCAGACTCCCTCCTGGGCTGAGCCTCTGTCCGCTCAGGAGACACGTCTCGACTCTGAACACCATGATGCAGTTCATTAAGTACATTTTTTATGTCTGAGCGCGTCTTCAGAGGAGAATGAGCAGTGAAATGGACTCTTGATTCCCCTTCACAGGTGTACTGGGAGGTCTCAGAAGACAAAAAAGCAAAGTGTGCAGAGAAGGGAAAATCGAAACAGGTAATTCCTACTGCAGCTACGGATAGCCACCCGTATCTCTCGGTCATGGGGACTTCCTGGTGCCGGGCCTGTGACACGCAGGCCTGGCCTGTGAGTGTCCGGGCAGTGAGCCCAGTTACACCGTCATGGGCTTCTGTTCCTGAGGATCAGGAGTGGCACTCCTGGACAGGAGCCAAGCAGAGTAGGCATTCAATAAATAGTTCTTCATTTGTGTGAACTGAATCGATTCAAAAAAGTTTTGACTGAGAAAACAATTTGTGATGCCTACTGGCAGGCACATGGTGTGAAATTCAGGCTTTGTTGTGCCGCCTTCCCAGGGAGCAGCCTCAGGCCAGAGGGGTTGCTAGGTTGGGGGCATTTGGCACCCTTCCGCCCTGCAGCATGGTGTCCATTCAGGGAGTGCTGGCGGGGTGCTCCCCTGGCCACCCACTGCGCCACCATGCCCTGCCTGGTTCTGGGCAGACCTTCAGATTTTGAGACTCCTGGAGCTCAGGGGTTCTGGGTTATTGGTGGTGACAGCTGAGTCATGATAAATTTCAACAGTTGTTGGCTAGTTACAGAACAAAATTTTTTTTAAAAAAAAGCCCAAAGGGCTGGCGAGATAGCTCAGTGGTCTAAAGCCACTGTTTAGGCAAGCTCAGGCAAGTGCGCAGGGACCAAGGTTGGATCTCCAGCACCACATGCTGCATCAGCCCCACCCCCTGGGTGGGCTGAGCCAGCCACACACACACACACACACACACATACACACACACACACACACACAGGAGGGAAAAAAAAAGCCTTAGGAATTTTTATTTTATTTTTTTGGTACCAGGGATTGAACTTAGAACCCTGTGCTTGCCAGGCAAGCATTTTCTACCGTGCTATCTCCCTGGCCTCTGAGGATTTTTTTTTTTTTTTTTTTTCTAAACTTTCTTAGCGAGGTACTAAACACTTATGCTGAAGTGTTTGTCTCTAAATCCAGGGGCTGGCAGGCACTGCGGTGGGATCTTGCATCCTGCATGGGTCTGGAGCTGAAAAGCGGTGGGCACTCCGCTGCCTTGTGTGGAGGGTAGACAACAGACCCCTGTCAGGCCTGGAAAGGCGGAGAGCAGTATGAATTGTATCCCAGCAGTTTAAAACTAGTCAGCAAGAGGACTGAGCTAATTTCAGACTCTAGCACCTATAATCCAAGTCCTTTTCTGCCAAAAATAGCATGTGGGCTTTTAAATGGCACCTTGGTGATGTGCAGCTGGCTCTGCCCCCTTTTCGGGTCAAGTTTCTCCCTCCTCCAGAGGAGCCGGGTCCTGTGTGTGCAGGGCATGGAGGGTAGGGTCCCCTGAAAACCAGAGGGGTTCTGTGTGGTGTGCACTGGGGTAGGGTTGGCAGCCAGAGGAATGATTTGTGTGTTTGGCGAGTCCAGTGCACTGCTTTCTGTAGAGGATGTCCTGGGACAGTTTGAGGTCAGCCCTTGTTGCTTTGTTCTGTGGCCAGGACTGAACTGGGATTCAGCCCAGCACCTAAACCGCCTGTGGGCTCTGCAGAGCTAAAACTACATAGGTCAGCATGAGGGTCAGGGGTGCAGGGCCGGATCCGGGAGTTGGTGGCCCCTGCTGTGTGGGCACACTTGCTAGCCAACCTGTTCAGGTGCCAGGCCTGCCAGGGTGTGAGGTCATGGCTGTGGACAGTGGCCAGCACTTTTGATTGGATGGCTGCTAACTGGCTCTTTCTTTTGTAGACAGAATGCCTCAACTACATCCGAGTGCTTCAGCCACTCAGCTCCACTTCCCTGTATGTGTGTGGTACCAACGCATTCCAGCCCACGTGTGATCACCTGGTAAGACTTCTGACACCTCCAGTGCCTAGTGTGTTCAGGTCCATCTGCTCAGCGCCCCCATGCAAGTGTAGATGGGCCACAGCAAGAATTCTGAAAGGTGTGCAGCTGACAGGCACACATGCCCGCTGCCACAGTCCTAGCACCTTGCCAACACCTCCCTTCCACATGTTTGGTGAGGAAGGCCTGGCTGTGGTGGCCCAGGCCATGTGGCAGTCAGGCCTCCCCCCTCAGTGGGGTGTGTCCTTGGTTGGCACGCTGGCGGGTCTGGGAGGTCACCATTGGGTGCTGGCTCTTGGTGTGCGTGCAGTCACTGAGCTGCTCCCTGGGTCCATCTGCCCTGAACAGAGACAGGACCCCCACCAGCCCTCTCTGTGCCATATCCTTGGCCTTTCCCTGAGTGGCGACCTGCCTCCAGGTGCAGGTCCTTAAGAAGGCTCTTCCTCGATCCTGCAGCCTGATAGAGGGACATTAGCCTGTTGCATCTCTTTGTTTTAGGAGACATTTTCATTTAGAAAATCAGATAAGCAGTTTGAGGGCAGAGAGGGAAAAGTATTTTAATCACTTGGAGTGAGTGGAAATAAAACATGTTTTCCAGTGACTGTCCCTAGCCTTAATGTGAACCTGACACATCTAAAATATGTGCAGCAGCTGGCTCATCTGCTGGGATGTAGCAAGCCCCTCAGAGCATACCAGGGTCTTGGGCAGTGTCCAACCCGTGCTGTGCTCAGCGGGTAGGAATGGCATACAGTGTGGGTATGCTGGATGAGGAGTGAGTCACGTCCCATCCGGATGGCAGGGTGGTGCAAGCTTCCGTCCTGCCACCCAGAGAGCAGTTGCCAGCAGGTAACAGAAACCCTGCACCAGGGAAGATGCCTGTGGTATAAAGCTTGGTTTCTTAGAACCCTAAATCAGTAGGAATTAAGATGGATGGATGGATGGATGGATGGATGGATGGATGGATGGATGGATTTTCCAGGGTGGGTGTATATCTTGGTGGTAGCATCCTTGCCTAATGTCCAGGGGATCTCAGATTCCATCTCTAGTTAAAAAAAAAAAAATGGGTCAGAGAAATAAGATGAAGTATGAGCTCCTCAGAAACTGGTATAGGAATCTGGTCTTACATACACATATCTGAAGTGAGAGCCACAGTATGGGTTGGTCTAGCCAACTGGACCCACAGATACTGGCAATGACAGTTGCTGTGGGGTGGAAGCCCCAGGTTTCTGTAGTAAGACTGTCAGTCCTCAAAGGTAGATGTTTCTTTTTGTTTAAATGCAAGAAAAGCAAAGTACAGTTGTATCACAGACGCTCTGCACATCAAAGGATTTCCCAGCTGAAGTTTAGTTAATTGGAAACATAAAGCCCTGGCTTTCCATGGAGATGGCAGTGAGTGAGGCAGGGGTGTGTTTCATTTAAACCTAGACCTACAGCTTTTGAAGACTTCAGTAAAAATGTTCCGACCTGCAGAAAAGCCAGTCATTCCTGCGTCAGCTCAGAGTGCACGCTGGGGAGCACATGGTTGGTCTGTCTGTGCGTGTGGTGTGTACCAGCTGAACTATGACCCGTGCTGCCTGGACACCTTAAGTATGATGAGCTAGGCAGAGTGGTGCACACTAGTCTTGGCTTCTTGGGAAGCTGAGGCAGGAGGATTGCAACTTTGAACCCAGCTTGGACAACTTGGCCAGACTGTGTCTCAAAATCAAAAGGCATGACATTTTCCTGTATAACTAATTTCCCCATTGTGGCTAATAAAATAGCCAATAATTCCCAGGGTCATGCAGCCTCTGGTCCTCATACAGGTTTCCCCATTAGCTGCAGGCATCTTTTAGAGGTGTGATGTGGATCCTACCCTGTGAAGCACAGGGTCGCCTGCTCGTGTTTTCTAGCCTGACAGAGGACTCTAAATTGTTTGAGTGGACCTGCAATTGCTAGAGGCACAGGGTACAGCTGCCCAGGCAGCCTGGCTTTCTGGCCCCCACTGGTGAGGGCCTTCCCAGTGGGCTCCTCTCCATGGCTCTGACCCACCCACCCAGTGCACCATCCTCCTGCGCTCCAGACCATGAGAATGAACTGGGCCCTTGCTGTCACCTTCCCGCTGCTCCCTGGGTTTTCAGCGGGCTCATCCCCAGGGTGGTTCTTTCCTTGCTGGTTTTGCCTGTTTTCATCCCAGACACCCTTCCTGACATGTTTGTGCGTGTCTGTTGTATTTAAAGAGATGGAAACACCTACCTGTCGTTCTGCAAGTGTTCCCCCAATTCATCACTTGCTGTTTAGTTGTGCCCCATGTTACCCTCTAAGAGAACTTTACAGTGCTTTCATGTGATAATACATTGGCCCATTGTTTCTTCATGTTATTTTTGGTGTCCGAGTCTAGTGAAGAGAGCCTGTCCCCTGGTTGAAATACTGCCTGCGCCTTCTCCTGGTGCAGCTTGCTTTTGCTTTGCATATTCAGCTCATGGATCCATCTGGAGTATTTCAGTTGGAAGAGAGGGAGAGCTCCCTTGTTCCTGTTGTGCATTATCTGCTAGTCAAATAATGAGACTTGCTCATGAGACTCCTCATGTGGCTTCTGGGCCCTTGCTGAGGGCATCCTGTGTGGATCCTGACGCTCCTTACAACCCCCAGTCGTCAGCAGTACTGTGCCTATTCTGCAGATGAGTAGACAGAGGTCCTGAGTCCTGTGTAGTGTGGCCAAGGCCCAGATATATAGGCCTGAGTGGGACCCACGAGGCTCAAAGCCCATTTGCTTACTCGGTAAAAGGACCAAGCTCTCTCACAAATAATGAGCCTGCAGAATTCAGCGATATGGAGTCAGATGTTTTATGATGTATTTTCTTTCTGTTCAACTGTAGAACTTGACATCTTTTAAGTTTCTGGGGAAAAATGAAGATGGCAAGGGAAGGTGTCCCTTTGACCCGGCGCACAGCTATACATCTGTCATCGTGGGTGAGTCTGCTGCTCAGGCTCCTTCTCCCCTGAAGCTTCCGGCTGAGGTTGTGACCCAGACAGGACACTCAGCCCCAGTTCCATGTTCTGTGCGTAACCTGAGCCGTACTGCAGAATGCATATGTCCCTCTGTGCAGACGCATTAACAAGAGCTTTTGAACCACTGTCCGTTGGCACAACTGGCTGCTGCTGTGGTTGCTTAATGCCTGCACTGCTGCGCTGTCCCAGAGGAGGAGACGTTCCTGCGTGACAGTCAGATTAGCAAGAGAGCTACCTGCTGCCCTTGGGCACCTGAGGCTGGTGTGCCAGCCAGGAAACCTGCAGCCCCAGCAGTTTGCTTGGGACCTTTCAACCCAGGATGCTTCTAGTACTGCCCAGGGGCCACCAGGGGCCTTGGCAAGGGTCACCATCGTTCTTTCACAATCCAGACAGTGCTAGTGACTCCCAGGAGTCAGCACTGGGTCAGGAAAGAGGCTGTGTGAGCCGTTCATGCCCAGCGTGGCCTCCCATAGGTGGGTGAAGCTGTGCTCTGAGGTTTCATTAGGTCACGGTCACAAATGCTGCTTTGATAGACTCAGGGTAGTACCTGTTGTAACTTAGGAGCGTCCATATTTGCACCTGTTGTACTGGATGTGGGACATTCTTGCTTGCCTTATTGTCCTTTAACTTATAAAAGGCAGCTGAGTATGGCGTGGACAATTATCTACATACACAAGACAGGAAGTGAAGACATGCATCCCACAAGCCTGACAATTGTCCTCCCTTCCTACAGGGTAGGGGCAGGCCTGGGGATGGTATTAGACAGTAGTAGAGGACCATCCCGTCTGGGCGCCACAGCCCCAGGGCTGACTTCCTTTTCCTCTTTCATCCTGACTGCTGCAGATGGAGAGCTGTATTCTGGGACATCCTACAATTTTTTAGGAAGTGAACCCATCATCTCGAGAAACTCTTCCCACAGTCCCCTGAGAACGGAGTATGCGATCCCGTGGCTAAATGGTAAGGAGCACAGCCATCAGCAGAGGGCTTTGCACCCACGCACAGGTGTGGTTTTCTCCTTCATCCTTGCGCGGAGAAGGCCCCAAGTTCTAGTCCACCTGGGGCAGTGAAGGGTGCTTGTAGCACTTCCTCCTCAGGGGCCCAGGGGATCTGGGCTGACTGGTCTGGTTTGTTCTCTGCTAACAGAGCATTGTTTTAAGGCTGCTTTTACCCCTAACTCTGAAAATGGGTTTGGGAGACTTTTAATAAAAGTGGGACTCTGATGGTGCACAGGGGACTCAGAGTAATGAGATTGGGATTTGGTGCAGCTTCCCGTGTGATATTAAATTGCAGATTCATGCCCAGCCTCCAGCACCTGGGTAGGTGGGGCCAGGGCTCACTGTCCTGCAACACCAGGCCGCGCTGACTGCAGGCTGCTTGTGAGGCGTTTTCTTTTCAGTGCTGTTTTCTTTTCAGTTCTTTTCCACTCCAGTGGGCTCCCAGGGTTCTTCAGTGCCTCCTGCTCAGGGGTAGATCCTGTGCTGGAGTTGGGGCACAGCTGACTGCCCTTGATTGGGCAGCCAAGGGGGCTCAGGCACATACGCTGTGGTTGGAGTGCATCTGGGGCCCGTGTGGATCCCCGCAGCGCTTAGAGCGCCTTCCAGCCAGCTGACTCCCCTTCCCTGGGTGCTGTGGTGGACAAGGTCAACATCAGGGACGGCTCCCAGATCCTAGGAGGGCAGCATAGACAAATGGCGTTGTCTGGGCCCCGCGCCGTCACCATTCCCACACCGAGTCAGACTCTGCAACATCCTCACAGCACCATTCGCCAGCCTGCAACACCACAGGGTGTGGGCAGGGGTGGTGACCGTCTGGCGTGTCTCTTGGCAGAGCCAAGCTTTGTCTATGCCGACGTGATCCGAAGAAGCCCAGATGGCATGGAGGGTGAGGACGACAGGGTCTACTTCTTCTTCACGGAGGTGTCGGTGGAGTATGAGTTTGTTCTCAAGCTGATGATCCCGCGTATCGCCAGGGTGTGCAAGGTGATCCCCTGGAGAGGGCGGCGCTCCCACTTCCGTCAGAACCATCACTGTCTGCCCAGTGTGTACCCCCAGTGACAGGGTTTCCATTTCTTGGAATCTGGGGTTATTGGCACCCTGGATATAACCACCTGCCCTGCGGCTCTCAGGGCAGTCTGGTTTTGATGCCCATCCTCAGAGCTCCGCATGCCCACAGGTTCGTTGTTGTCTGCTGGACTTGGGGGCTCTGGAGTTGGAATCTCACAGTTGGGCTCCTCGGGGAGTCTAAGGGGGCACCTCAGCCAGAGCCAGAGGCGGGCAGTGGGCATCAGGACAGGAGGAAGAGGCACCACGGGGGACGCACAGCAGTGGTCACTGGCAGCTGCTTGGCTCGGGCATGGTGTGCGCTCTCTGGGGGTGCTTAGGTGCTGTGCTGTGTGGCCTTTTGAGTGGCAGTTGCTGCTTGAACACTGTCGTAGAAGCAGAAGTTTTGCAATTGCAGCACACCGGTGCTTAGACACTCCTCCCTCAGGGTCCACCCACAGTGCGGAAGGTACCCCAACATCTGTGTACCCCAACGTCTGCCCTTGCTTTATGGTAAAATAGATGGGCTGTAATAATGCACTGTAGAAAAGGTTAGGCGGATGTACTTTCTCTCTCAAGAGTCGCATAGTACTTCTGGACTACAAGGACGGGCTAGGTCTACACAACTGTAACTGCAGAGGGTGTTGCTACAGATGGGTGTTGCTGCAGATGCTGGTTCTGTGTCAGCCCCACAGCGAGGTGCCCTTTGGTGACCCCCACTGGTGACTGTCTCCAGCACCGGTGCATCAGGAGCTGCTGCAGGAGGGCCAGTGAGGTGAAGGAAGGAGAGGATGGGAAGTCTCCAGAAAGGACATCCCCAGGCCCCACAGTGGGCCCCTGAGGTGGGCTACAGCGCCTGCTGCTGCAGAGTGACCTGGCCTTAGGGCACATTGTCGGGGCACACTTGGGATTCTGGGGACCATCGGCAGCACAGATTATAGCTGTGAGGGCAGTGGCCCGGGAGGGCTGTTGTGGCCTTAACATCTCAGCTGTCCTCCTGAGTCTCTAGGGAGAGTCCTCCTGTCTGTCTTGTTTGTGTGCCAGGCTGTGTGTGGGACTAGGGACCTTTGCCCCACCGGGCCCTGAAGGGTGCCTGCCGGTCCCCTGCCATGTCCTCTCTTGGGCTTCCAGGGGGACCAGGGTGGCCTGAGGACTCTGCAAAAGAAGTGGACGTCCTTCCTAAAGGCCCGGCTGATCTGCTCCAGGCCGGACAGCGGTCTGGTCTTCAACGTGCTGCGGGATGTGTTTGTGCTGCGGGGCCCGGGCCTGAAGGAGCCTATATTCTATGCACTCTTCACCCCGCAGCTGTGAGTGCCCTCAGCGACAGGCGTGTGACCACGCGGGCAGGTGGATGGGTGGGCTGTACCCCCCTCCAACCACCGCCCTCCTCACTCATGTGGCCTCCATCCCCAGGAACAACGTGGGGCTGTCAGCAGTGTGCGCCTACAACCTGTCCACAGCAGAGGCCGTCTTCTCCCGCGGGAAGTACATGCAGAGCGCCACTGTGGAGCAGTCCCACACCAAGTGGGTGCGCTACAATGGCCCAGTGCCCACACCGAGGCCCGGAGCGGTGAGCAGGCTGGGCTGGGAGGGACGAGGGGCATTCTTTCTGTGCCAGGCCCAGCCACCTGCAGGTCTCTGTCTGTACCTGCCTGGCACCCACTAGTCCTCAGGTTAGCAGCAGGTTCCTCCTCCTCTGTCCCCTCCTTGTCCGCATATTGTGTCACAGCTCTTGCCACACACAGGCCAGACAGGAAAGAGAGCCACTGGCAGGCACCTCGGGTGAAACGTACATTGCATAATAGCTAGGGCGTTCGTTTCCCGTTTCCTGCGGAGAAACGCGATTTCCCAGCCAGCACTCTGCACACTCATAGGTCGCCCTGCCCACTCATCAGTAGCGGTCACATTTTTTTTCCCTCATGAAAATTATACATTTTAGGTAAGGGCAAGTTTCTACACCGACCTACCTGACCACTCATTTTTCCCCAAGAGGTGCAGGCTGGCACCTGGTGCTCAGACCCCCTCCCAGCTCCGGCAGCCTGCTGGGATCGCGCCCTAACCTGGCCCTCGTTCCTCCTATGCCTGCCTGGTTACTTGTAGTTGAGGATTTTGGTTTCTGCCCATCAGGAAACAAGCACAGGGAAAAGTCTCCTTCCTGTTCTTTAGTTTTTCTAGAGTTAAAATTGGGCTGTGTTTCAGCAGTGCTTACTGAATGCTTCTCTTCACATGGGAAAGCTTTTCAGTGATAAGTAGTTTTCAGTTTCAAAGACTTGGTGAGTCTTCTCATTTATAAACGCATAAAAGTTGATCCACTAATTGTGTATCGTAAAGCACAATTATATGCTACAGGTATGCTTTAATGCCATGTCCTCTCCTGAACATTGTGGTACATACCTGTAATTCCAGTTACTTGGGAGGCTAAGGCAGGAGGGTCATAGGTTCAAGGCCATCCTGGGCAACTTGGGCCATCTCAAAGTAAAAAATAAAAAGTGTAAGAGCTGTACAGCTCACAAGCGGAACACTAACCTAGAATGTGCAGGAGCCTGGGTTCAGTCTCTAAGGCCACAACATAAAGGAGTCCTCCCATTCTGGGGTAAGGCCACCTGACTGTCCACTGTTAGCGGCCTTTGAGGCGTTCCCTGTCCAGTGGTCCCCTGCTCAGCAGCTGTCGGGGTTCAGTGCTGCAAGGTGGCGCTGGGCTGTGGACATGCATGGTCACAGATGGTGCTTGGACCCATAGTGCATCAACAGTGAGGCGCGGGCAGCCAACTATACCAGCTCGCTAAGCCTACCTGACAAGACGCTGCAGTTCGTCAAAGACCACCCTCTGATGGACGACTCAGTCACCCCGATAGACAACAGGCCCAGGTTAATCAAAAGGGACGTGAACTACACACAGATTGTGGTGGACAGGACCCGGGCCCTGGACGGGACCATCTATGACGTCATTTTTGTCAGCACAGGTAGGTGCCAAGGGTGAGATAGTCACAGCATGTAAGGAATTGGGGAATCCACATAGCCTTTTGTGGGTGGGTCTGGCCTTTCCCTCCATGTGACCCATATATGACCATGTGAAAGGAAGTCCTCACAGCCCAGGCCACCAGAGCACCAGCCTACAGGTCCTGGTTCACAAGGCCTGTACCTACTGAGCTGGCTGTTGCCTGGGCTGGCTGGGCAGGGGGAGCAGCCAGCCTGGCCTTTGCTGACCGCCAGCAGGGGACCTTATCCCTACATGCCGTAAGGCTTGAGACCCAGCCCGCCCTGCCCTGCAGGGGACACCACCCCTCACCCTAGGCTGAGATGAGTGTTTCTAGGATGGGGCCCACAGCTGCCCTGGCCGCACCCCAGCTGACCTTTTGTGTGCCCTGCCCTGCCTGCCCACTAGGACCCTTCCAGGGATGACCCCTCTCCCACCCCACCATCAGGGCCACCACACCTGGGATCTGGGCCCTGGTGTCACTGTGTTGACTTTGAGAATAAAGGTTGTTGGATTCAGGAGCATATTCTTTTTAAGAGAATTAGAATAACCCACAACTTGTTTGCCATTGCTTATTTTGCCAAAGGCATTTATTTTTCCATTTTTCATGCGAAGTTGCCCCTTTCCTAAGCAGGCCGATGGGCATGTAGCAGGTTGTGCAGGCCACAGGGCTCGGCATCTTCCGTGGTGTGTCCTCTCGGGCTCCTCCCTGAGCCCAGCTTTGACCTTGCAGATCGAGGAGCTCTGCACAAAGCTGTGAACCTGGAGAGCGAGGTGCACATCATTGAGGAGACCCAGCTTTTCCAGGACTCTGAGCCAGTGCAGACTCTGCTGCTCTCCTCCAAGAAGGTAAAGAGACCCTGTAGTTGGCATGCAGCCAGCCCCTCAGGGGTTTTTCCTCTCTGGGATCTGAGGCGGGTTGGGCAGGGGCAGCTGCCCAGGCCTCTTGGGCCCAGGGCCAGAGGGTGGGTACTTGAGGCTGTGAGTGATGGACACCTCTGCCCACACCCGGCTCTGCCATGGAGGCTGCCTGTGGACTCTGAGCTTTGCATGCCCCCAAGAGGCACAAAATATTATTCTTTGGATTTTTTTCAGTGATTTAAAAATATAAAACCCCAGTGGGCATAGTGGCACACTCTGAGAGGCAAGAAGTGAAAAGAAAGAAAAAGGCCTGAGGAGTAACTCTGTGTAAAGCCCTGAGCTCAGTCCCCAGGACCACCATCCACTGTCAGCTGGTCATCCCCCCAGTGGGATGGCTGTAGCCATGGGGGTGCGGTGTGGCCTGATGGCTGCAGTTTTTGGTCGTCGTCATACCCTCAGTGGCCTAAGGAACTGGTGTTGCATTTGGGCTGGAGCAGGCAGTTGCATGGAACTGCAAACAGGGCTAAGCACAGCAGATGCCGGTGTCTGTGAGCAGGGTGACCGTCTGTCCTCTGGGAGAGGCTGCCTGATGAGGGGATGGGGGCAGCTGCTCACTTTGACCTGCTGAGCAGGTGAGCCCTGCACTACACCTGCTGTTACTGGCACTGCCTCTTTCACCTACACCACACTGTGGTGTGGCACAGTGCACCAGCCAGCCACTGGCAGGAGCCACCCATCTCACAGCCCTTGGGTGCTGCCTCCCTGGAGCTAGTGCCATGGACGGAGGAAGGGGCAGCAGGCAGGACCAGGGCTGACCTCCTGGGTATGTTTGTAAGCATCTCCCGGGGGTCCCTGATCCTCTTCCCTTTTATCTATGTCCACAAGCCTTTAGGAGCCTGGGGCTGGTTTTCAGACTGCTGCCCTCTGACCACCTTGCCTCTCAGCTGCTATCAAATATGCCTGCTCTCTGGGCTGGTGTTGCCTCTCAGTCTGCAGCACCTGAAGGCGCCTGGAGCTGGGCAGGGTGCCTTCGCCCTCTGGGGCTGCTGTGCTGCCCATTTGCCTCAGCCAGGCTGGTGCTGCTCCCAGAGAGTGGGCCATGGGAATTCATCCGAGTGAGTTCAGGACCCTGCCTTTCAGCTTCCGGGGCATGTGATGCTCACCCCCAAAGGCAGACAGTAGGCCCCGTGATGGCTGGTGTCTAGATGTCCCCCGAAGTCCAACACAGTCATAGGTGGGGCTTTTTTCATAAGTGGCTGGATTTAGAGTGTGTGGTGCTGGGACTGATTCACGGTGCAGTGCTGGGACCACATCGGTCCCCTGATCAGTTCGGCTTTGCCCTAATCCCCAATCCGTTATACAGAGCACAATGGGCATAAACGAGCTGCTGAGGCCCCTTGTTGCTTTGCTACCTTCTACCCACCTGATTCTCCCGTCCCCACTGAAGCTGCTGCAGGGAGACCTGGCCCTGCTGCAGTGACTAGCTCATAGGCAGTTTGCCTGCGTTGGGTCCCCACCACCTCCTCAACCAGGCCAGGAGTTTCCATGCCCAGCGGTGCTGGCATGGCAGTGGAATTGCTGATCAGTGCCCCCCCACTCCATACTGGCATCCTCAGGTATGGAAAGCTGGTGGCCAGCCCCCCCATCAGGCCCTTCAGTCAGGAGGGGACCAGTGCCTGACCCCTCCCCCTTCTGTACAGCTGGGGCAGCTGTTTCACTGGCAGCTCCACCCCTCCAGTCCCTTTTGAAATGGCCTCAAGCACACTGAGCGTGTCTGCAGCCACTGTACTACCCATCCTCAAAAACTTGGTCATTTTCTTGCACTGAAACTGTCCCATAGACTGCACTTCCCATCTCTTCCCTGGATGACACTGGGCACTCCAAGCATGTGGAGGCGAACTACGCTTGTTCTTTGTGCTGGCTCCTTTCTCCTCCCATGATTTCTGCGGGCTTCCTCCATGGCGCAACGTGTGTCAGGCTGTCTTTTGAGAGGCTGGGTGGTGCTCCATTTTATGATGGACCACATCGTCTCTGCACTCCCCGTGGTTTTAGACCTCTCTCGTGAACTGGGGCTGATACGCTGTGGGCCTGGGTGTAGGGCTGCGGCCTCCAGGTTGCTCTCTGTGCACATTGGGCAGGTGTGCCTTGCAAGGCCCTCTTCGGGCCCCCGGACCAGGATGTGTCTGTTGTCAGACGCCCTTCACTAGCCAGGGCAGGGTGTGCCACTGGCACTGAGAGGGGAGCTTTGCCGACTTTCCCCCACATGCATGCCCTTTGCCACTGTCCCTTGGGCCGCACACACGCAGGGGCCAGCAGAGACAGGACCTGGGGAAGGAGGGGTCCTCAGCACACCTCACTGCTACTGGGTACTGTCCACCAGGCACTGGCGCTTTTGCTTGAGTTTAGTTTGTATTTTTGTCAGTACTGTTTGCTGTACCTCGTGATCACCTTCATTGGCAGGGAGTTGGCAGAGATGTGCACTCTGTGTCGTGACACTTTGTCCATCTCCACCACCAAGTGTTTGAAGTCTGTCTGTCTGTCTGTCTGTCTGTCTGTCTGTCTGTCTCTGTCTATCTGTTGGGTAAAGGGTCTTGCTACCCAGCTCAGAGTTATAGTAATCCTCCTGTCTCAGCCTCGTCAGCGCTAGGATTATAGGTGTGCATCACCGCGCCTGGTCTCCATGGCCCACGTGGCACAGCCAAGGCAGGGCCCATACAGCATGTGCTAAGGGGGACAAAACCCAGGTCCTTGTGCTTGCCAGGCAGATACTTAGACCATCGAGCTATCTTTCCAGCCCTGACCAAGTGTTTTTATTCACCTTGTTCAGTTTTTCATTTTGAAGTAGTTTATGATTTGCAGAAGACTGTCAAGGATGGCACGGAGGTTCTTGTGCTCCCCCACCACCACCCCGCCGCCTCATGTGCCCAGTTACCCAAACCCTGCACAGGTGCCACAGTGCATTGGGGCGTCACGGCTCCTCCACAGGTCCCTGTCTCCAGCTGGGCAGGCCTAGGGAGACCCAGTCTGCTCTTTCATGATGTCTAGTGGGTCCTCTTGACTGTTTAGGGGCATGGCTTGGGGAGGACACCCTAGGGGAGCCACCTGGGGCATGGCACCTTGGTGCCCTCGACTCGTGCCCCACACGTGGCTCTGTCTGGCCACCCCAAATGAGTTGTGCCCCACCTCCAGCAGGCAGTCAGGGAGTGTGTGGGTCTGTGGGCCAGTCTAGGACAGCTGTTCTCTCTCGGGAGAGCAGATGCTGAGATAGGAGGTGTTGTCATCCCTCGTGTCCTAACCTGCCGTTTCACATTTGCAGTTCTACTGGTCTCCAATTAAAAATATTTGGGAAAAAAAAATTGCTTGTGCACTAAAATGTGTGGACTCTTCTTGTCACTAGTCCCTAGATAGTGCAGCCTTGTAGTGTTCTGAGTAGTCCAGAGGTGATTTAAAGTCTCCTGAGGATGTGCTTAGATCATATGCAAATCTGCAGTTTTATATAAAGGACTTTGGTACCTGTGGGGGCGGTGTCCAGGAGCCAGTTCCCTGCGGATCACTGGTTCCGTCCTTTGTTTTTATTTTTTGTCTTCATAAACAGAATCTCACTATGTAGTTCATGGCTGGCCTCAGACTTGCAGCCATCTCCTGCCTCAGCCTCTTGAGTGCTAGGATTACAGGCATGTGCCACTGCACTTAGTCCATGTCCCCTCATTCACTAATTTTTGCATCCCTAGTAGGCCTTGCCAGCCACAGGTCTTGCAAATGTCCTAGGAGGCTCTGCTGCCCTCCCGTCCTCTCCCCTTTCCCTTCCCTCTTCCCCTCCCCTCCTCTCTTCTCCTCTCCTCCCCCTCCCTTCCCCTCCTCTCCTCCCTCTTCCTTCTCCTCCTCTCCTCCTCCTCCCTCCCCTCCCCTTTCCCTCCCTTTCCTTCCCCTCCATTCTCTTCCCTTTCCCTTCCCGCCCCTTCCATGTTTGTTTGTTGGAAGCCACATGGTGGCACTTGGTCGTAATGGCTTGACTTCAACATGCTCCCCTGGAGCCACTGGGGAGAAGCAGGGCTGAATGTCCTGGAGAAGAGGGAGGGTCACAGTCTCCTAGGATGGTCCCTCTCTCCCCATAGCCTGCCCACGGCCACCACTTCTCCCCTGCACAGTGACCACACTGCTTTACAGGTATCCCTAGCAGGACACAGCTTTGCCTTTGCCCTAGGAGGTACTTTTGCACCTCCATTAGTCACATGATTCCCTGCACTGAGCCTGGGGATTGTCCTGTGTCCCTGTTTACATTGTGAGCATTGGCCATGTCCGCCCAAGTCTCCATAGGACGCGGCTGCCTTTCCTGCTGTCTGTTGATGTCACCGTTTCCATCCTTGTGGGAACCCTTTCCGCATGCATCTGTTCTCACTCCGGCAGGGCATTGCACTGGGAACTGGTGATACACGGTGGCGAGCTCCAGACATTCTGAGGCAGGTGTGGGATGCTCTGACTGGTGCAGCCTGAACTCATGTGTATCTGGGGTCTCTCATGTCAGCCCAAAGGTTTTCTGGGGTGAGAAACTCCCACCTCGGGGCAGAGCAGGTGCTGAGTACAGCTCTAATGTTCATTGGTAAAAACCCACCTCTGCCCAGTGTCCAGGTCTCTGCCAGAGGCCAAGGACCAGGAAGAGGGAGCGTCGGGTTTGCTCTTGCTTGGAACGTGGCTGCAGAGGTTGACCTGGGCTCCTCCTACATAACTAGATGTGTGCAGAGCAGTGTCAGTCTTTCTGTTTTGTTTAACTTTTTTTCCATATTGGGGGGTTGAACCCAAGGCCTTCATCCTGAACCCTTCTTAGTTTTTCAGGCAAGGTCTCTTCTGAGCCCAGGCTGGGCTGGTGTCATCCTTCTCTAGGGGAGTCAGTAGCAGGCTGCTTGTCCTTTGCACCACTTAGATAGGCATGCCCTGGCCAGCTGGGTGCTGGATGCGTGTGGTGACACAGGCTGGCAACACAGCACTAGTGATGCAGGCTGGTGCTACAGGCCTTGTCCAAAGATGTCTCACTCATACAGGGGTGAGAACAGCCTTCAGAGGCTGCGTCGTCCGGCTCCTGGCTGCCACGAATGCTGTCTTCCTCCAACAGGGCAAGGCAGGGCCTTCCACTCCATAGGTGGCCACCCAGAGGCCATGAGAACAGACTCCTCCCAGGAAGCCTTGAGCTCAGGGCTAGCTTTGCCAGCAGGTGGGACCCAGAGGCAAGGGGAAGCAGATGGGAGGGAGACGTCACCCCCCTGCTTTGTCGTACAAGGCTGCTGTGTCTGCAGACCCACCGGCCTTACTCTAGCTCCAGTTGGGGGTGCCCCACTCCCCACAGCACCTCAGCTTGGAGTCCAGACCATGGTGACAGCCCTGCCTGTTCTCCTCTCTTCCCGTGCACAGGGCAGGAGGTTTGTCTATGCAGGCTCCAACTCAGGTGTGGTGCAGGCCCCGCTGGCCTTCTGTGGGAAGCACAGCAGCTGCCAAGACTGCATACTGGCTCGGGACCCGTACTGTGCCTGGAGCCCAACCGAGGCTGCCTGCGTCATCGTGTACCAGGCCGAGGGCACCAGCAGGTATGGGCGAGGCGCGCTGCCTGAAGGGCCCCACATGGGTACAGGCCAGGAACTGGTAACCATGCTGATTGTTTTGCAGGGCATGGATTCAGGAGATGAGTGGCGACACATCCTCATGCCCGGGTGAGTGTATTCCTCACCCCAGTCCTGAGAATTGGCAACTCTCAGAAACATTTCGTGCGCTGCTGTGGTGCTATGCTTGTGTGCCGCGTTTCTTTTCTCTGCTTAAAACAGAGGTCAGGCTTTGCACAGCAGGCTGGGGTCTCGCTGCCGCTTTGATTACAGAAAGAGCACCTGAAGCCACACAGGGTGTATGGTGGACTAGAAAGCACTCTGTCCAAACAGTCCTCTTCTTGGTTCTATTTAGCTTTGGGTTCAAAGCCCGTTAGGAATGTGAAGAAAGGAGACCTGAGTCAAGTCAAGCACCCCTAACCCCCAAACCACAAATGTAAAGCCTGTGAGTGCAGTACGATGTCTCAAGTGGAAAATTCCATAGCGTGGAACTTCGTTATCTGCTCAGAATGACTTCAAATGTTGTACACGATTATCTTCAGGCTGTATGTATAGGATGCCCATGAAACATAAATGAAATATTCCAAAATCTGAAAAACATCTGAAGTCCAAAATGCCTATCCCACACATTTGGATAAAAGGCCGGCAGCTTCCCACAGGAGCCCCACTCCCTGTGGGGGAGCAGCTGTGGGGGAACAGCTCAGTGACCCACAGTGGGTGGAGCAGGGCCAGGAGTCCTGTGCACCTTGCTAGTGTGTCAGGGAAGGGGTGGCCTCAACTCCAGGACTCCTTTGCCTTCTGAGCTGACACCAGTCACCAGATGAAAGAAGGGTAGAGCAGGGCGCCCAGTCGCCCAGTGCCCCAAAAGCCAGCCTTCCGCACAGCCACTAGCAAAGTGTTTAGTGTTGGACTGAAGCCACGCCGCCAGCCACAGAGTAGCCTCACTCTGTCTCCCTAGCTTGCTGGGGTCAGGGCAGAGATGCAGGCTTTCAGCTGGTGAGACCTACCTCTGATTTTCGCTGTCCCCAAGGGCTGCCATCAGGGTCATCGTTGCTTTCGTGGTCACGCATGTCTTTATTTCCTAGTTGTCCTAGAAGATTCCATCTTGCTCCAGTGGGTGAAACTTATATCCTCTTGAGGGTATTGACCTGTTTTTAAGAACGGTTGAGTAAGCCACCAGGGTTGTTGATGCTGTGCACATTTATTTTGATGTTCCAGATAAGATTAAAGAAAGTTCCCCGCAGCATCCTTTCAAGCACGGAGACACAGCGGAACTCAAATGCTCCCAAAAGTCCAACCTAGCCCGGGTGGTGTGGAAGTTCCAGAACGGTGTGCTGAAGGCCGAGAGCCCCAAGTATGGTCTGATGGGCAGGAAAAATCTGCTCATCTTCAACCTGTCGGAAGGTGACAGTGGCGTATACCAGTGCCTGGCGGAGGAGAGGGTCAGGAACAAGACGGTCTCCCAGGTGGTGGCCAAGCTGGAGGTGCAGGTGCTCCCGCGGCCCTCACTGGCCTCCCACTCACCGGGCTTTCAGGCCACCTCCAGGGCGCCTGCAGCGGCCACCCAGGGGTCTTCTGCCCCAGGCCTGGCTGTACAGGCCACCTCCCCTGGGCCCATCACCCCGCCGCCCCGGCCCATGCCCACCAGCACATCCTGCGAGCCCAAGATCGTCATTAACACCGTGCCACAGCTACACTCTGAGAAGACCATGTACCTGAAGTCCAGTGACAACCGCCTGCTGATGTCTCTGTCGCTCTTTCTCTTCGTGCTCTTGCTCTGCCTCTTCTCCTACAACTGCTACAAGGGCTACCTCCCGGGGCAGTGCTTGAAGTTCCGCTCAGCCCTGCTGCTTGGCAAGAAGCAACCCAAGCCTGAGTTTTCGGACCTGGAGCAGAGTGTGAAGGAGACGCTGGTGGAGCCTGGGAGCTTTTCCCAGCAGAACGGAGAGCAGCCTCGGCCAGCCCTGGACACTGGCTATGAGACAGAGCCAGACACCATCACCAGCAAAGTCCCCACGGACAGGGAGGACTCACAGAGGATTGACGAGCTCTCTGCCAGGGACAGGCCATTTGATGTCAAGTGTGAACTCAAGTTTGCAGACTCGGACGCAGACGGGGACTGAGGCGTGTGCCTGTGGTGTCTTGCAGCCCACTGTGGGGCGCTTTGTGTCTTACCTGTTCAGTACCTGCGTCTCCAGTCTCGTGGCCGTGCAGCAGTCCTTAGTCTTGTTTCCTCGCTGGTTGAGTCTGTGACTTGCTCCTCTTTGTGGTTTGGGAAAATGACAAGCATTGCGTCCAGGTCAGAGTCCTGCAGTGGGTTGGAGCTCTGGGAGACCACTTTGCGGGTGGTGCCCCAACATTCCGGAGCCCTTTGTGTCATGGGGGAGAAGTGGCTGACCTCCCTGGGCTGCGCAGGGCTCCTTCCACTTCTCCCCATAGCAGCCACTAAAAGATGATTTCATTCCAGATTGGAAATGACATTTTAGTTTATCAGATTGGTAACTTATTGCCTGTTGTCCAGATTGGCACGAACCTTTTCTTCTGTTGAATTATTTTTTTTTAAGATTTTGCTTTGGTTATGTTGAGTCGTAGGTCTTTTTTTTTTTTTTTTTTTTTAGAAGACGGCATACGAGATGTTGCGGCGTGACTGGAGTTCAGACGTGTGCTCTTCCCATTACCGAAGCAGATGTTTTAATATTTAGAAAAAGATGTTCATCTTCCAGATTTTGTTGTATATTGGAATATGGCTTACGTTGCCTACGATTCTCAGGGATAGACTTACTTTTTGCTAAATGCATTTTTTCTGCTTTTAGAAGGTAGACCTGAAAATCTCATCTCTTGAACACACCGACCTTTTTACTTTTTACTTTATTCCTTGGAGGCATCATTTTCAGAAAGATTTTATTTCTTTATTTTTTTAACTTTCTTGAAGAGGAGGACTGCCCTGCACACACTGGCAGACATCGCATGAAGAAGAGTGGCATGGGGCCCGGGTGCCAGCGATCAGGCCACCCCGGGGAAGGCGTGCTGCCACATCACACCGTGGCTGCGGGCGAGCCCTCCTGTCTGGGGGTGGAGCCCTCACAAGGATGTCTTGGGTTCTCTGACCATCTCCCGTCTCTTCTTGCTTCTGTCATCCCCACTGCCACCTAGACTCTGTCCTTGGCCCCTTGGAGCTGTCCCCTCACTCCTGGAAGACAAGTGGTCTGTGGCAGAGCGCCGCTGGCTGCATCCAGGACCATGCATCTGGTACCCAAGGCCGCTGTCCCCACCTGGCCTCTGCTGCTGTCATTAAAGATATAAAGGAGCGGTAGAGTTTTAACCTTTGTTTCACACTCCATCTCCTGCTTTGTAAATACCCATGCAGAGGAGGACTTTTGTTTCGTGGCAGAGAACAATAAACTGGATTTCTGTGTGCCTGTGTGGACAGTCTGACCTTTCAGCATGACACAAGTTCATCTTTTGGGGTGTTAGCTTTTGTGTTTTATAAGATTTACTTTTATTTTTCTATCTTGACTTGTATACATGTGGAAAATACCCAAATAAATGAAAGGCTTCTACCAGTCACTTAGGCATGTATCACTTGCCGGGCTGTAGGGTGGCCCCAGTGGGGTGGCCTCAGGATCTGCCCTCACCCCCCACCTGTCTGCTTCCTGCTGCGCTCTGCCTTCTCTGGCCTGGCACTCGATCCTGATGATGCCCTCCTCAGTGCCCTTTCTTTTCTGTCCTCTGTCTCACAGCCTCATCTCCTAAGCCCTTTCCTCCTCCTGGCTCCTCCTCCCTGTCCTGTCTGGGTCCCGACTCGTCTTCCTCTCCCCGGAGCCCCTGGCCAGCCCCGGGCCCAGGGCGTGACAACCGCACACAGGTCGTCTTGCTGCCGCCCTTCCTGAGTGACCAGGCACAGCAGGTGCATGTCCTGGGGACCTTCCACCTCTTCTGCCAGGCCACAGGTGAGTCGGGCGCACCCCGTCCATGGGCCGAGGCTGCTTCTATGTCTGCGTTTCACCAAAGCCTACCACCTTCCTGGCTGGGCTGGTGGTAGAGCCCTCTGCTTTCCTGTGCAGTGGGACAGCCAGCAGGAGTCTGGTGTGAGGAGTCAACCAGCTCTTCTCCAGAAAGCCACCATACAGGCTGTGAGGGCCCCCGGGTCCCAGGCCTAGCTTCTCAGCCCTGCCCTGCTAACACTAGAAGCAGCCATAGACCATGGCATCATGAGTGGGCAGAGCTACCACCAGTGAGGCTTTCTTTACAAATTGCAGGGGGCTGGACTAGGAACAAGGGTTGATTCTATTTCTGTAGTACGTTAGAGGTTGGTTGACAGGCCATCTGAACTCCAGGCCTCAACTCTGGCATGTGTAGCGTGTGCTGTATCACTGAGCTGCATCCTCAGCACTTTGTAAGAGACTTCAGTTTAGAGATGGGGCTTGTGAAGTTGCCAGGCTGGTCCAGGAATTGGATCCTCCTCCCTCTGAGTTGCTGGGGTTGTAGGCATGAGCTACCATGTGCAGCACCTTCAGAACATTTTTAAAAAGTGACCCCAGAGCTCCTAGAACAGGAGTTCTGTTGACTTGTTCGAGGATGTTCAAAAGCACAGGTTACTGAGTCTGGTGTTCTCCGTGCAGTCACAAGAGCATTTTGATGGTGTTGGAGAACATCCCACAGGGTTGCTCGGGATGGGTGGGAGCTCAGCCAGAACATACCTGAGCTCTACCCCTGGCTTTGGCCGCTCTTGGCAGCTGGCACAGTGGCTGCGCCTGTGCTCTGGAGGGGAGGACTGAAAATGAAGATCCTGTTTACTTTTCAAACAAACCTCCATGGTCAGAAGGTACTAACGGTTGTAAGCTATTGCCTGTCCCTTGTTACGTCAGCTCTGGGAGCCCCAGAGAGGCCTGTGTACTTTGAGTGCGGGGCCTGTTGGTAGTTGGTCCCTGTGCATGGGCCCCGCAGGTGTGGACCGTAGGGACTGACCTCTTGTCTAACTCCTGTGGGAAGAACTCTCCAGTTTTGGTTTTCGTTTTTTGAGAGACAGGGCCTCGCTATTTCCTAGGTCAGCCTGAACTCCTGTGCTCAAACAGCTACTATCCTGCCTCAGCTCCTTTAGGAGCTGGACCTGACACGACCACACTGAGCGCTCTGGGCTCCTTTGGACCAGGCCTGGACTACGACACCTGTGTGTGGCTTCCTGGCCGGGTTTTGCTTAGAGTCGATGTCTGGCGGTGGTGGCTGCAGAGTGCCCTGTGGGCCCGCTGGAGGATCCTTCAGAGGTGGGGAGCTGGGTTCACACAACAGGGTGGAGAGCCCAGGACTCCTTCCCTGAGGACACAGGCAGGCTATGTGGCCAAGCGCATGGCATGGTTAGGTGGCAAGTATTTAGTTGCATGTCTTCTGCCAACCAGATTTTCATAGAGTCTAGCCCCTGGGCTTGGCAGGGGAAGACTGGTTCCTTGCAAGGAACAGACATTGCTGCGGTATTGGTTCGTGGAGAAGAAACTGGTGTGGGGGCCAAAGGACTGGGACCAGAGTGGGCAGTAGGAACCATCGAGGCCAATACCCATATAGGGCAGGGGCAGAAGGAAAAGGTGTCCCTTGGCTCCATCTCTGGCCACTGAGGCCAGGCCATGGGACCTGCACTGCCCCTGCCAGCCTCGGGCTAGAAAAATGCTTCCCCTGTGCTCTGCCCGTCAGTCCTGCCTTGTCTGGGCCTAGCAGTATCTGCTCCAGGGTCCAGGGACAGCTGTGGTCTTGCTCTTGCGTGGTAGGATCCAGTGGGATGAGCTTGACCCTTTCCTGACCCTCAGAACAGGGGCAGTTGGGAAAGCGAGGCCTCCTGCCTCCCTGTTCCCTCCTTGTGCAGGTGTTGCGCTCTCCAGGAACAGCTGGGGCCCCCTGGGGCCTTTCTTTCCGGTTTCTTTGTTCCACCAAGGCCACATCTGATGGCCAGGCATGAGGGGGGGCAGTGGCCATGGGCCTGAGGCCCAGGTGGCTCGGTGTGCGTGAAGCAAGGGGCCTGTGCTCTGCACCCTGGAGTCGCCTGCGTTTGGATGCCCCAGCACCAGCCACAGGGCAGGCTTTTCTGGGGAGAAATGGGTGTAGCCTGCACCTGGGTCTGATCCTGAGGGGACTCCTTGGGGCTGCAGCTTCCCTTGCCTCTGGGACGGCTGGGTTTGGACCTCCACCTGGGCTTGCTTTCTTGCTGAACAGCCATTTGTGTGGCAGTTGCTACAGCATTGCGGGCTGCCTGGCCTTTAGAATCTGAGATCAAAGAGGATATATGTGGGGCCTTGGTTCCCTCTGCTCCCTGGTGCCCACGCTTTGCTGGGTGACCCTTTTCCTCGTGAGAGCCGTACACCTCCCCGGAGGCTGACTGAAGTCACATGGTCCTGCCTGCCACAGGAGATGTGGCCCAAAAGCCGGGTGAGAGGGGTCCCTATGGACTCAGCCTCAGCTGCCTGAGAGGTAAGGTCACTGCCCAGCCTGCAGTGGCAGGCTGGTTCCAGAGAATGCCCTGGTATGAGCAGAGGACAGGGCTGGGGGTGGGATGGAGTGAGGTCTGGCCATGCAGCAGGGCGGGCGACTTCTCCAGGGTGGCACTTAGGACAGCCCTGCCACAGCATCTGGCTGGGAGGACCAGGACCTGAGCTGGAAGGGCTGGGCTCTCCTTCCACAGTGCTCCGTGTCTGAGACCCAGCGTAGCTCCTAGAGGCTACCTTCCTGCCCCCAGGTCCTGTGCACAGCAGCCTGTGGAGTCTCCCAGTTCCAGGTGGCAGCATCTACTGTGTGCTGTATGTGAATGGGCCTGGAAGTGGTGGGTTCATGTTCTTCCGTTCACCATGCATCCAGCTACAATGGGCTGGGTGGATGCTCCGCCTCGTGCTTCGTGTCCCACACCACATGTGCACCGTGCCATCCGCACCACCCAGAGCATACCACACACTGTGCACGGCACACCAGATTACACACTACATGCTCGTACCACGTGGCACATACATCATGTACTACACATCTTCCACACCATAAGGTACATACACATGTACACAACACAAATGCCACTCATGACGTACCTCACACAGCGCAGCAGGTAGCATACAACATACACATTACACCACATCCTGCATACATGTACAAATCTGCCACATCCCCAGGCCAGCCAGGGAGTTGGGTGACCACATCTCTCAAGTGCCTTTTGCACCTATGGCTCCAGTGGTCAGCATTGGGACATTTGGGGGTCACAACTGAGCTGGCCACAGGGCACCAGCACTTTGGGATGGCTCAGGACCCAAAGGAACACTGCAGAGGGTGGGAGCACACAGAAGCCTCCTCACCTCCGGCCAGCACCCAGAGGTTCCTTGGCCTCTGCCCATCCCGTCCTCACACCATGGAGACCTTGGGGTCACAGATCAGAGAGGCTGGAGCTACCAGCCTCTGTGCTACCCCTGCCCTGGCCACTTTGTGTCTTCTGTCCCTTTCTTGAGGGCAGGGCCACACCCAGAAGGCCTTACCCCAGTCCTGTCTCCATCCCAGGGTCCCAGTGACTGTTGACAAGTGTCCCAGCCATCTGGCCTCCATTCCTTTGCTAGGAGGTGGTAAATGTCCCACGGTG